AACATTATCGATGCTTGAGAGAGAAAAACAAGAATTTTTCCCCTGAGCAGTTAATGAAACGTGCCCTCCTAGGATATAATAACTCAATTCATAGTGTCACAAAATTCACCCCGTTCGAAGTAGTGAAAGGTCACATCAATAATACGAATCCATTCGATCTCAGTGATCATATCATTATTTCAGAATACGTTCAAGCACATAAAGACACCACCCAAAAAATCTATGCAACAGACAAACCAACAAACCAAGAAAAAATGTATAGACAAGAGAAATGAAAACCGAGATGAACCCCCCGATTTTTCTGATCAACAAGTAGCATATATCAGGACCAAAGCACGACAAAAAAACCGACCCAAATTCAATAAGACTAAAATACTCAAGGAAACAAAAATGAAGCTAAAAACCAACAAAGGAACCTATCACAAAAATATTGCCCGAAAGCCCAAGACTAACAAAAAAACTTTGTTACAGGGAACTGACGAAAATGAGGTTACCAATCCTGACCCTAATACTTCACGTACTCCAAGTACTATGTGATGAAGACATTCAAATCAATACCATTCATAACCCCATTCTTCCCATACAATTAGGCAACGCCAAAATTATCTATAGTAAACAAACATTTCTTTACTACATCGATTTGAGTCCAATTATCAATCAATTAAATAACTTGAAAATATATTTCAATGCAATCAAAAATTATTCCAATAAGGAAAATATCACCAACCTAATTTCCTACCATGGTCTATCCGAAAATATGCTTCAGAGAACTGAATATCTCATTCAAACAACTCAGACAAAACTGGACAACCTTCAACCACATATTCGTGTTAAACGTGGTATGATCAATGGAATCGGCAAAATCAATAAATGGCTTTTCGGAACACTTGACGCTGATGACGGAAAACGTTACGATCAAACCATTGCAATATTGGAAAAAAAACAAGAAAATATCATTTACGAATTAAATCTTCAAACCTCTCTATCAAAACAATTAATCAATTATTATAATCGAACGTTCTGATTGAACAAATTGAAAACATTCCAGTTTGCCATTCAAAAAACCATTGTCGATCTCAAAAATTATATCAGTTTTCAAGGTGTACTTTCTCAGATCATTTTGGACTGCCAAAATATCCTAACATTCATTGACAACCTAGAAGACACAATTACCTTCGCAAAATTGAATGCTTTGCATAATTCAATTATATCCAGTTCAGATCTGGATGAAATGATAAAATACTTGAGTCAAATTTACGATAAAAGCGAAATTCTAAAATTTTAAAATATTTTGTCATACTATCAATTCTTTAGCATACAAGTTACATTTTCGAACACGAAATTGATCTTCTCAATTCATGTTCCAATTTTTATGTTTTATCACCTGTACCCTATCATCCAAAAATTTTTTATAATTTTTTCTTTGGGACCTGCTGAGAAACTGAAACTACTGTCGTTACTTTCTCTATATTTCAGAGGAATTTCTGCATGTTCCCCAATCAATCGGTTATTTGTGAGATCAATATTAAGATTCATATTGATCAGATCATTCAACCCAATCACACCGTCGAAATAATCATGAAAATCAAATAAAATAAAATCAATTTCATAATTACTATTGAATTCTGGAAAACACGGAACAAGAGCTCTATATCTAATTGTTGTTTTTAAAACAGTATTCGAATTATAAATTGTGTTTGGACATAAATTCTCTATTATTGTTGGGCGTATTATAGATTTAGAGCTACCTGTGTCGATCAAGAGTTTCGATTTGGGATTTTGAATTTCTATGTAAGGAAGGGCGTTGTTTGAGAAATTAAATTCTTCTATGTCAGGTTTTCGTCTTCGTCAGGCTTGGGTATTTCAGTATTGAAATCGTAGGAATTTTGATATTGATCATGTTGATACTCAGGTGGGAAATATAAATTTTCATTAAAATAGAAAGGGTCTGACACAAATTGATTGTCATATTCGTTAGAATGTATTTCTTCGAAAACAAAGTTTGGACTTCTACGTTGTTGTCCATTTGAATTCATATTAGTATTTTCGAAATTTTGAAATCCATGATTTTGAAATTGTCGGTTTCTTGATACTACAGTTGGGTTTCTCGAGGTTGTCGACATTGGTTCGGGTTTAGGTAATCGATTTTATGGTATTTGATTAGGTTTGAAGACATTTTTTGGGGGTCCGAAGACGTCACGATTTGTTGGGAACCTAGTGTGTTGTTGCCTAGGTTGAACTGGTATAGGCTGATTTGGCCAAACTGGTTTCTGACTATATTGTGACTGGAAAGTGTTGAAATTTACAGAAAATTGGGGGTATTGCTGAAAGTAGGGTTGGTGATTTAAATAATGTTGGTTATTGAAAGTATGTCCTTGTGAATTATTACCAAATTGTGGTTTAGGAACCAAAGTAGTCCTGGGAGTTGTATTTTTTGTTTCGTTTGAACTTTCATACATTCTTTCAAAGTTTTCAAATTCATTCGCATACGCCATTGCGTCTTCCAGTGAAGCTGGTTTTTTATATGCATATCATTTTTCAGGATGTCAGTACACCCTGCAATGAAGGTACTCAGTGCTGTTTTATCATAGTGATTAATATGACATAATTTTTCTTGTTCGCTTATTTTGGCATCATTACTTATTCTCTGGACAACACTACTTTTCAACAGTTGTATTCTACTCCCAAAATCAATAAGATTTTCTCCCTTATAAGGTCTAGTTCTCGTGAGTTCTTGAACTAAACAATCTAGGTCCCTGCGATCTGAAAAACTTTGGCAAAGAACATTTTTCAGTTTTTCCCAAGTATTTAATTCTATCCTATTTCCTACCATTGCTTCTGCTTTTCCGACTAATTCTTCTTGAATGCATTCAAGTATATGTTGTTGAAAAGCAGCATCTCCATATATGGCATAATCGTTGAACAGGCTTTGACAACGAGTTATGAATTTATTAAGAGTATTGCTATCCTCATCGTAGGGTTTGATGTTTTCCAAACGAGATTTAAAAAGGTTCCAATCGACCATTCGAGGTTCCGCTGGTGGCATGTTTGAAAATTTTGATTATTGTCTTCGACTGACAGATTATTTAATAGTTGCAAAATATTTTCAATATCATTCATAAATTGTTGATTTTGATCAATAGAATTCAGTATCTTTCGATCGGCAATAATTCTACTTTCAAATTCAATATAGTTATTATTATATAATTTGTCATTTTCGCAAGTAAATGTAATGTCAATATCCAATATTCAGTTGGAATCAACGTCACTACCCTATCCCTACCAAAATCCTTAAAAAGAGGGTTTAGGAAAGTCGAAAAGGAATTTGGCACTTACAGTTTGGTGATTGTAGTCTCCTGGTTCCTTTCTCGATTCTTTCTTCTGCAGAGAGCTCCTTGAATCCCTTCGATCCTCGCTGAAGAAGTTGAAACTTCAAAGTCACGAAAACGATTTCTGGCACAATGCAAATGTTCTTTTTCACGACCGTGAGAATCCTACCGACTGCGCCAATTATATATTGAAAATCGAAAACCTAATTTTTTTAAAAAGAAAATCGATTTCACATAAGACTCAAAAAGCGTTTATCACAAGATTTGAAATATAATGAGTTTGCAAAGTCTCGGGCTCCTGTAGATAAGGCACGTTTCTTGATATCTGTTTCCACGTAACTTGTATCTCATGACGATATCAATAGAAGTTGAAGGTCAAGAAATGAAGTCATCAAAAACATTTCACATACAATGCAGTAGGCATTGACCTTTTTTAAAATAAGATACTGAATAGAATTGTTGCAGATCAAAGTGAGGTATTGAGATAAACTTTTTTTCAAGAACAAAACACAAGCAATACAGGAAAATCCTGAAGTCGCTCTGTTATGACAGAGTAGTATATGTACTACTTTCAGAAGTTAATCTCAAAATTATATTCTATTCAATTGTTTCCATGTTCAACTAAAGCTCAATAGAAGAGTCAACTTTGTTGAGAATATTTGAAAAATGCTTTCTCTTTGTCGAAAAACCATTCGACAAAACATTTTCACAAAAATCTTGAAAACTTTTTTTCTTTTTTTTTTTCATCTATATTGAATTTTGCATTTGATTCTTTTTGAAAAAAATGGAGTTGCATGGGTATATACTTAGCCTTTCGATACCTTTAATAACAAAGAAATTTCAGTTATCACTTGAAAGCGATTGTGAATACTAATAATCGAAACGTCGTGACGTAACTTGATTTGGAATCTTTCAATTTTTAATTTTCATTTCTTGTTAATAATATTTTTTTTTGTTTAATAAAATTGTTATTTTTCGGTTAATCTTTTTCAATTTTTACAGATGCTTTCAGGGATTTCAAATCAATTTATATAATATTAGACAATGGAAGTCCCAACTGATGAAATACACCATGAAACATTGTCAACCACCTTCAAACAAAAGAAATTTCAAATTAAATTTTAGTATATTTCATTGTGAATTGACTAATAGATAAAACTTTGTTATCTTACGAAATTTTTGAGTACTATGGATGCCGAACTTTAGTTTCTGCAATCTTAACGTTATTAAATTCAGATAAAATCTCCTAAACAAAAAGCATCAACAATTTTTTTTTCATATCCTCGGTGAAGGTGAAATACTCAGGCATTTCATTCTCATATTTTTGCGGTTGAAGTTAAATGAAAAAAAGTATTTATTTATGCTACCTATATTTTTAGAAATATAGGATATATCATTTAAAAAATCAAGGATACATTATTTTCTTCCGCTTCTTCATGAAAAAAGGCTAGTAAAATGGTATATTTTCTGATTTATTTGGTATATTTGAAGATTTATATACTTACTCCCATTTTTTTGAGTACCTTTGTGACAGAAACCGAATATAGAAAGCACTGTATTCCCTACATTATATTTGGGAAATTATTTTGATACGCTTCTACTAGGTACTGTCTACATTGGTAAATGATTTCAAAAAGCCTGACGCATTTGTAATAATAATTGTATGAAACATGTTTTGTTAACTTTTAATGAAAGCCTGATGTGTCACACACACTGTTTATATCGTTTTTGTATATACAAGACAGTGGAAAAATTTCATGTAGACTTTATTTGAATATGTATTTTGCTATATGAGTGGTATATCTAAAACTTCTCTGAAAGTAATGATTATATGCATATTTTTTCAAAACTAAAACTATCAACTACATGGAATATAGATAAAATTCAGAGGAGAATAGGATATGAACACATAGAAGCAATGTCACACAAATTATCGGCATCTCTTTCAATTCGGAAGTATCCGTCTTCTCCCCAAGTTGTTCCCCAAGAATTTTTCACTTTCCAAAATTTCTTTCCATTGGCTTCACCATATCCAACAACAAGAACAGCGTGATCCATGCCAAAATAACATTGATCATCAAGGACTCCTCCACCATACATATGCAAATTTTCAGAGCTCATTCCCACTGATATGGGACCGACAGTTCCTAAGAAAAACAAGTTGATTTGTCAGTCAATGATTTTAATTCAGTAATTTAATTACTGGGAGCCCTAGGGCCCTTTTGAACTGAGCTGGCTAGACACAGCAGCTAGCGACTATAACTGAATGATGATTTATTTTTTTTGTGATGATCAGATCATTGATTTCATACGTTCATCTCGAAGAGTGAACGAAATTTAAAAAATTTCAAATACCCCCCAACTTTCAATATACCATTAAATTAGTTTGAGACATCTTTACACATGAAATTTTGTATCAACTGACTGTTAAGTATTTTTGTCTACATAATGTCCATGAAAATTTCGAATAACTAAAGAGTCTGAGTTTTCCATTATAAGCTTGTCACTGTGAGTATGAAACATAGGAAACGGCGGCAAATTGTGAGTAGATATATTTAAAATTAATTGCTTTACTTCTAGATTATTATGATTTTCATACAACAGAATCTCAACTAGACCAATAGTTTCAATCGGATCAATATTGGGAAATAATGATAAAATAATCTGCTAAATTGTGACAAAGCTGTCTATTCTGAAGTACTATTGAATGATAAAGAAATCGACTAATGCTTATGAATTCTATTTGGCCAGCAGAACCCACGAGCTCCTTACGATCAGTATCAGAACAGATGGGAATGTCACTCGAAACTGTAAGAAAAGCATTGAAAATGCATAAATTTAATACTTATAAAATGCAGATTCTTCAAGAGCGCCACGAGGATGATTATAATAGAAAAATAGGGTTTTGTGAAATCATGTCTCATCAAGTCAATACCATCCCCAATCTTATGTTAAACATCTGTTTCAGCAATGATTGTTCTTTTTTCTCAAAGGCAATGTTAACAGACAAAATTGTCGCTATTGGAGTGACGAAGATTCACATATTTTTCGGGAAGGGCATACACAACACCCACAAAAAGTTAATGTTTGGGCTGGTATTCTTGGAAATGCCATTACTGGTTCATTATTTCAGGAAGAAAACTTGACTGGCAATCTGTACCTTGAAATGCTTGAAGAAACTATCGATCCTCTTATAACTCACGAGCTAGAAACTCAAATGGATGCAGAAGGTAATGAACTTTTGCAGGAGGATCTAATACATTTCCAGCAGGACGGTGCTTCACCTCATCATTTTCTTTCCGTCTGACAGTGGTTAAACGAGAGATTTCCGGATAGATGGATTGGCAGAAGAAGAGCAGTTGAATGGCCTCCGAGATTACCGAATTTTACACTGTTATATTTCTTTCTTTGGGAGCATCTTAAATCCGTTGTTTATAAAACACAACCTTCTGATATTGAAGAACTTCAAAGACGAATTACAGCAGCATGCCAGTCAATTTCCAGTGAAGTTTTCCGTAATGTTAGAGGGGAGTTCGAAAACAGACTTATTACTGTTTGGAGCAAAATGGATATTACGAACAGTTTATGAGATAAAAATAAATAGATTTTATGTTTGAAATGTCTTTCTCGTAAATTAAATTTTATTTCGTAAAAGGGCAATAACCAACAAATAAAAAATTCCACGCGTAATTCATTGGAAACGTGCCACCTAATCTTCTAACCATTTTCATTGAAAGAAGTCAATACAATAATGCATCTCAGAAAAGGCAAATTATAATTACATGTGTAAGTTTAGAAAGCTATTTTTCAGAAACTGCTCATCAAAAAATAAAACGTCAGAATTGAACGGCAGTCAAAATGATGTGGCACTTGACCCCCCCTTCCCATTTAAGATTCTAAGGGTAACATCTACCTCTTTCTGGGGGTTGAACCACGAGGGCTACAAATATTCTTCGCAAGTGTCCCCGTTAACTATAAATTTGACCTGTTTTTTCTATTCCTCATATTATTTACTGGAAGGAGAATATCAAGAGTGAGAAGTTTTCAAATTAATACCCTGTATAGTAGAATAATAGTTCTGATAAAAACACATGAACTTTGCTGACAATAATGTAATTATCTGTAGCTAGCAACATAAACTGATTCAATATGTTCACACATATCGAACCAAATCTGGAACAAGATCTGTATCAACTCATAAAATAGTTCGACGTTGGGCTACTACCTATCAATGTCAGTATGCTACGATGGGTAGAATATGAACTAAGAATATTCCCGAAGCCTTATTGAAAACCGAGAGAAACATCAAATATCCTTGAAATTGTAATTGATTGTAGTGGGGATCACCAAAATATTACTTTGTTAAAATATGGGATGTATTTTTTCATAATTCAAAGATTCTGGTGGAACATAATTGGCTAGAGTGTCTAAAACCTACCTTGTCTCTGTCTCTGATATATTCTACGAAGAAGTTTTTACTCAAATAACCTCAATGTTTTCCCTATAAGATCTTGGACTTTGAAATTTCATATTTTAATACTCATGTCAGTAGATTTCATATACTATAAATTTTTTCACCTCTAATAAGCATCTGTTGTTTACATGGGTTTCTCCATATTTCTTTGCACAAACTCTGTAATCTTTTTCTTGGTGTTTTTTTAATAATTGAATTCATTTAAAGGGAGCACACATTTTCAGAAGAGCGTATTCTGAAGTAATTTTGCAGGTTTCCAAAAGCAAAGTATTATCATTGAGTTTATTTATAGGTATAATTTGTAGTGGTTTTGACATATTTTTATGACTCAATTCTCTTATTGTACTGCACAAATTGAACTAAATTTGATTTGATTTGAATTCATCAATACAAGTTATTGACAGAAGCTTCTATTAGTCAGTATCTTTTTGGGATGAAATTTTCAGTTTGCCCTTCATCACACTCAGCGGATTCTCTGTTGATTCATAATATTCATTTATTTTTTAGATTTTGGAAGACTGGAGACCCAAAAAATATCAAGGAACCACAAATCCTCCAGAAAAAAAGTATTCTGAAGAATATCATAATCTTATTTGCCTACAACTTATAGTTGTAGATAAATAAAATTTGTTAAGTGTGGACTATTGATTGTTTAATGAAATACATGTTGCGGTTTTGTGAATTGTTGAGTAAGAATCCCACAGGTGTTGAATAGTTCATCATAGATTTTCAACTATTGGCTTATTCCATTAAACAATTTCAAACCCAGATATTAGTTATTGGTATACAATTAAAGCTTTCAATGAGCTTTCTGCCAATGAGGACTGGAACATACATTATTCCATCTGATTCATCACATTTTGAGTGAATTATTACTCAAGTTCACTCACCTACAGCTTTTTTGAGTTCATCTTCATCCGCTAGCAATTTCTTATATCCCTTTATTTGAACAATGGTTTTCTTGGCATCGTATTGGCATTCAGTCATTTGTTCTACATAGGGGTAAGAAGATTCTGCCTCAATTCCGTTGTCTATAATATAATCGAAAGCTTCAGTCATGAGACCACCGTCATCACAATCACCATTTCCATAACTGGCAGAACAATCCAGAAGTTGTTGCTCACTTAGGGGAGTCTTCACTTTGTTGTGAATAGCGTTTTGACCTTCCAGTGATCCAGTCTGGAAAAAATAATTTTCCAAGAATATACTAAATGATATAAATCGTATATTTTTATAACGAAATATATTTTAACGGTCATTATAGAACATAGTTGAACTAAATTGACCGAATAATGGTAATGTAGTGGTTAGACTAAATGTATCTATCTTAGTATTATATTCGACCTTTAAGGTTATGGCTCATACCAATCAATATTATCAATAATAATGATGTTTATTTACTGATGATCAATAAAATAATCAGTGAGTATACAGGATGGTGAAAGTAAATGAACAATGCAAGTCGCAGAAGCTCAAGCTTCAGTGAATCTATAGAGCAATACAATGTTCAATAAGAATAGTACAATGGAGAATTGAAAATTGGTGATGAAATGAATAACATTTATACATAACATCAATTAATAAAAATTGAAATGTGAAATGTCTCTAAAGAGCGATATCTGGTAGAAGTGTGATAAAATTTGTAAATGTGTTTTAACATTTATGAAAATATATCCATTCATATTGGACTCATACGGTTTATAACAGATTATTTCCCTGAGGAAGTTCAAGATTTATTCTTCTAGTTCTTTCTTTCCTTGGGCAATTCAACAGTCATTGTTTTAGTGCCAAATAATTACTATTAAGCTGTCGCAGCGTGGTACGCTTAACGAATTATATTTACTTTTGGTATTATGCTGATGTGCCACAAATTTGGAAGCTATTTTATTTTTTTATATTAAGGATCATAGCTAAATAAAAAAAATGCTTGGCATCAAATGAACCTGATTCGTTATACAGCTGATCATTTCGAAATGTTATTGGTTTGCCCAATATGATTCTCGAAATCTGTCTGTGAATTATGATGAACTTTTCCAAGTGAATGGAATCCAACCAGTCCACCAAATAAATTCAGTTTCTTAAGAAATACAATTGAATTAATTGATGAGTGATCTTTCAGGTCAGGTGGTAGAAGTGAAGTTTTACCTAAAACTGAAAACCTGATTTGGTTCACTTAAAGGCAGACACAAATTAAATGTTCTACTGTTTCATCATTCATCATTTTTTAAACAGACACGACACTTCGGATTTTCCGACAAGTGACGATTCAAACGACAATCGCCTGTTACACAACGGAGTTCATCCCTTCTGTGGTCTAACCATTGTTTGGTATATTCTCGAAAGGGTATACAAATGCCAGTCCTGCTAGGTTTTGCCTGGAGGCTGAAACTTTTCTTGAAGTCCAAGTATTTTATGTTTGCTAAATAAAAGTCAGTGACAGGTTCTGGTCTGATAAAACCGCTGCAAGAGGTTTCATCAGACTACTCATACAGCACCCAAACTCATTTTTTGAAATTCGAATTTCGGGAAAATTCAGTAGACAAATCTAGAGTACGATAATAGAGTTCAAAAGACCCGCCCAAGAAACAGTACAAAATGTAAAGATGAAGGCTTCAAAATATAAAAACAGGGGAATCTGACATGTGATAGGAGAAATAGTTATATTTACTATCATTACTTATCAATTATGTGAATAGCATGTTCAAACTAAGATCGATAGTAGATATTATGATATAATATATTATATCTATGGTTGTCTCAGCCATTACTTGATAAAGATCTATAGTAATTTCACAAACTACACATAACGATTTGATCTTCTGAAACTTTATTTTCGAAAATATCACATGATTCACTATCACATTAGCTTTTTCGTAGTGAATAATAACATATATTATTCACTACGAAAATAAAGTTTGTGAAGGTCGAATCGTTAAACAGAACTAAATTTTGTATAAGAATAACCATAACCATGCTACATGAATTGACAAAATTTCACAAAGAGTGAACAATTTATTTTTTGCGAAAATGCCATGAACTATTTTGGAATATGTCTTGAGATGAACAAAATATGGTCGAATAAATATATATTACATGATGAAAAGAGAAATTGAAATTTCTATGTTTATTACCACTTATATTTGTAACTTACGTTACTGTAGTTTCGTCCTATATGGACATTCTCAAACTTATACAATAAACTGCAGTAATGTTAACGAAACTGCAGTAACGTTAGTTACAATTAAAAGTGATAAAAAACATAGAAATTTTCATTTCTCTTTTCATTTTGATCTCCTACCACGTAGTAACGGCTACATCCATCAATTTATATATTACATGAATTTTTTCTTATTATTGAAAAGATCATCAAAACGGAAATCCACAAATTATTCGATATATTCGAATTTTCAATTTTTTTCACTTATATTTGATTATAGTCAAATAGTAAATGTGAACAAAATTTCAAGTCGATATCTGTTCGAAAGTTATCCAATGTAACTGGAATCTAAAAGTAGACAGACTAATGATAAAACGCATACTAATGATTTCCAGACCGTGAGGCCTGGTAATCCAGATCAAAAGTGAATTCTGTTGATTTCAATCTTTTCAACTATTTGCCAAATAACTTTAAAGAGCTTAGTATCACCAAATTCAAAAGAGCCATCAAGGAAATGCTACTCAACCAATGTTTTTACTCAGTCTCGGAATACTACGATCATTTTAGGACAGTTCACGTTACTCGAGATAAAACATAGTCACCGGTATCGATTGTACTGTGGTAGTGTATCACCTATCATCATAGGTGAATATTTATTCATATATGTATGTAGGCAACCCCTGCGTTGCTTAATATTTTTACAATTTACTTCTTTGTTTTATATATTTATTTAAGAAAGCCTATACACTTGACTTGCTACAAACATGAAAATGTAACGTAGTTAATAAACTATTCTATTCTATTCTATTCTATTCTATTCTATTCTATTCTATTCTATTCTATGCTATTCTATTCTATTCTATTCTATTAACTTCATTGAATCTACTTACAGTACTGAAAGCCCAGCAAGATCTACAATTGCCCTGGTTTTTCACAGGCAAAACTGCTCCTTTTTCCGTCCAATCGATCTGTTCTGGCAATTCTAGGTCTTCAGGGAAAACTTGAAGCGTGGCATTCAAATTTGGTCTCCTATTGTTCTGCAGTCCAAGCTTCTTTCTGAATTCATCTCTGGTCATGTCAGCAAACTGTGTAACTGCCATGTAGTAGGTTACTTTGCCTTCTTCGTATTTAGCGTTGTGTTTTTCGATTGTTCGCAGGTTGTTCTGGAATATCCCGAATCTGGTCCTTTCTTCTAGTAGACTTTTGTAGGTTTTACCATGGGTTTGCTGTGTATAAGAAAGTGTTGAATTATAATTACATTAGTCTAAGATTACTGAGTCTGTCATAGGGTAGTTTTTGAAGTAAGATCATTTCACAGATATTAGGGTATTGATTAGACAACTCAGTTCCTATCATAATATTTATATTTCAGGTTGAAGAAACGATTTTTTTCAATCTTTCCTTCTAGTGATATCTGAAATAATTTGAAAAATCGGAAATTGAAATTCAGTTATCTAAAAGAAACCCCGAAAAAAGTATTTCCAATGATCAAAATAGAAAACATCGATTAAAATTATTTCCATACAAAATGTTTCTTGAGGTAATGNAAAATAGAAAACATCGATTAAAATTATTTCCATACAAAATGTTTCTTGAGGTAATGATGTTCTTTGACTCATTCAAAACGATGTCAAAAAATAATGAAAGTGAATCACTTTTGCGAACAATTCGTGCTGGGGTGAATTTTAGAAAAATTTCCACCTATATTCATTATGATACTATTCGCGAATTCTACCTATGAGAGTTGAAAAACGTTTTCTTGAATAATTCAGTGTTACTATCAAATACGAAACGTTTTGTTGTGTCCACTACAATATTCTGAGATGCTAATGGTGGAAGTCAAATTTAAAATACAAAAAATATAATTAGTAAAATAGCTTATTTATATCCATCAATGTTCAATTATTTTCTATTCCACTTCAGAATGTGTATTCTACTGAAGGTGCGGAAAAATATTTGTTGGCAAACAGGAATTTACGTTTATTAAATACAGTAATAATTACCTTGAAAGCCACCCATTGGTCCTTGTCAGTAGAAGCACTGACTGTCATCAGGACAGCTGCGAAGAAGGTAAGAAGTTTCATTCTGTTTTTTCTGTAAACAAATTATTATATTAACTCAAATATATAATTGAGCAACATACGAGTTAATATGTTTCTAATTTATTTGATATTTTCCAACACTGTTCCAAGCATCAGATGCAGAAGCATTTGTTACGTAGAAAATCACAATAATTTATCATTGAGAAATTAGTTATCAATACAAGATATAGAAAGAGGAAAAAAATCAAGTTTTCAACTTACCTAAAGAACAGCAGGATAAAACTGTGCTAGAATACTTGAAAATTTTCTAATTTATACTTTTTCTCCCCATATGATATCCACTTCAGCATTATCTGAGGTTCAACTAGAGATTACATTTCAAAAATTTTATTTTCATTGTATTTGTTGTTCTGAAATATCCAACCTCATCTCGTCCTAGACATATACACGCCCATTACAAATCCAAAAAATATATATTCTGGGACTTTGAATAATGCTCGCCTCAAAAATCATGTTTGAATAAGTTAATTTACATACAACAAAGTTTGAATTCCGGTTAGTTGGAGCAAATCATACAAGTTTTTTCTTGGAGATGCACAAGCTCTGCAGCTCTGTGACAATCCGAGAACCTAGGCAAAGGAGTGATTTACGTGTGGATGATATTCATCACCAAAAACTTTTTCAGGAAGTCTGTTACCCAAGGACATTATTCTCCAAATAGGAGAGTTATTAAAAAGTGTAGTTAAACCTCATTGTTATGGGTAGATTTGCAGCGTATTTCTGACATATGTTATGGATTCGACTGAACTGAGTCTCTGAGACATTTCTCTTGAAAGTATCTGTAGAAAAAAGATAGGTTCTGAATCTTATTTCGATATCTCAAGCCGATAATCTGATATTTGGGTGTTCTATTAGGCAAATGGCTCTTTCCTAAGTATATATCCATTATTGAACTTGTCTTCTTAAAAATCGATAAAGAATTATTATTGATGTAGATGTGAGGTAATATGCTTCAGGTGATCATAATTGAATAGGTACCTTAGGTAGAGATTTAGATAATTTTTTGGAAGTAGTCCCAATTATGGTTACGTGTAATATATAAATATTAGTGTAAGAAACAACTTGGAGTATTCAAATCACTTGACAAAGCTATTGTGCTAGTGAAACATGTGATATATTTTTCAAATAAAGTTTATGGAGATCAAATCGTGGGGCATAGTTTTTGAAAAGTATATCCATCAGTTTTAGAGTGGGTAAGTTCAGCTACAAAACTCCACATTTATGGGCAATATTCCAACTAAGGTATAATTACAGGAAGCACGTACTTCCTGGGAAGAATCATATCGCTGTTGTAATTGAAAATTTCAATATTTGAAAGTTTGCATGGTTTTTGATAATGAGTTTGAAATTGTGCCTTACGAAATTTCCAATGCAGCAGATGCTGCTACAGCACAATTATTGCCTGAAAAATCAAAGTTCACTTACGGAAACGTTTATGATTTGTTCTCGAAATGTATGGATATGAAAAAATGCAGAACTATTACAGAGGATTGACTAATTTAGTCAAAAATTTGAAATTGTCAAATCTTCTACCTTGTAGAGATTGTTAAAAAGTACCATTTTAGTGAAGCAAAATGTAAACATAGCCACTTTTTCAAAAGTTATGGAATTTCCTAAAGGGAAGAGTGTTGTTTTCCAAGTGAATAAATTAGAAGTTTTCAAGAGCGAGCAGATCAACAAATACATTAGGGAAACAAATAACGAAACATATCTAATACTGAAGGTAACTCTAACAAAATATCAATATTGTAGAAGCATCAACTTGATTTGCTTTATTTTCAGGTAGCAACAATTAATACGTTAGCCAGTACATGTAGATTGATCTAATAAACGACTAGGAAGACATGCTGCTTGTGAAAATACCAAATTCCAAAGACACATATTGAAATATCTTTTGTTGTAATTAGGCAAGAAAACCTGCTGTTGTATAGGCAATATTTATCTTTACTGCCATACCATACTCCAGGTAACACATTATTCGTAAATTACAAAAAAAAATGTTCAATTCAGCCTGTTGGTAGCCTCAGGGAATCTCGAATTAAAGAATCGCAAAATTTTTGAACTCACTCAGCTCTAAAAATTACACAGGCAATAGCTTTTGTCGAATTTCAGCGACTTTATTTGATGATAATGGTGAAAACATCACAAATTTGAAGACACTCGGTGGCTGGAAGTCTACCATTGTCTATCAGATGAAAACAATCCAATATATTTTGCTCCTTTTTAACATAAATATAGGATATAACCATTCTATTTTTTATGGGTGATTTCGTAGTTGTATATCATTCATTCCAATGGCTGCTGACGATGTCCCTTCTCTTGATAACAAATTATGTAAAATTTGTGAAAAATCCTTTGAAACAACTTAAGGTATCAAAATTCATAATGGTAGAGTTCATAAAATTTCGAATACAAAATCTTCTTTGAATGAATCAGCTTTTACACGGTCTGTTGATTTTGTTCTGTTGCCTCATTCTAATAAAGATATGTCATTCAACACTACGTTTCATGAAAAATTGTCCTCATTGAAACTATGCAGTCACATTATAAAAAGGATTCCTAAATCTGCTAGAAATTGCTCTGCATCTGCCCTTCGCGCAATTATAGATGAATGTTTACATACAAACTCTTCAACAAGCTGGGAAAACTTTTTAACTTTTCCTTATATATTGTTTTCCATCATACATGCCAAGGACTCCCGTAGATCTTCCCCCACATCTATTATAAAGAGAAAAATCAAACTTCTCAATTCCAAGACCAATGTCAGTCTATCTCAGATCGATAAAAGGAAATATAACCAATACTTTCCTGAGTTTGTTTTCAGTAAAATAGCTGATGGTGACATTAGGTCAGCTATCACAATAATGAACTAAAGTGATACGTTGGCCGAATACGATGAATCTACACTTTCAGTTCTCCGATCAAAACACCTTCGATCAGATTCCTTCACGCATTCTCTGGATTCGCAACCACCACACAATTTTTCAGAGTTTCCAGTGTTCCAATTTTCAGAACATGAAGTATCTGAGGCAATTAAATTTTTTTGTTCTGGTTCTGCTGGTGGTTTAGATTCTTTTCGCCCTAGCCACATACAAGAACTCATTAGTCACAGCTCTGGAAATTCAGGACTGAAACTTCTTTCTTCTGTTACAAAATTATGTAACTTCATTTCTCCATGAATTTGTCCTATACTTTTTGGCGCTTCACTGTATGCTCTTCGGAAAAAAGATGGAGGAGTAAGACCGATTGCTGTCGGTACCTTTTATCGTCGATTGGTAGCTAGACTTGGTTATATGAGGATCAAAGACGAACTAGGATCGATCCACTACAGTTTGGTTTCGATACTGCAGGTAGATGTGAAGCTGTTGCTCATGCTGCTCGTAGATATATTAATCTTCATCCAAATCCCGATTCAAAAATTTTCCTGAAAATAGACTTCAAAAATACCTTCAACATGATTGATAGAAACATCATGTTTCGTAAGGTTAAAGATTGGTTTACAGGATTATATCCCTTCTTGAGTCAGTGTTATAAATCAGCTTCTCATTTGAGTTTTGGTGAACAACTGATTCTGTCTGAGAGAGGTGTTCAACAAGGTGATCCTTTAGGACCTGCTCTTTTTTGTTTGACCATCAACGAACTCACTATATAGAAGCTTATCATCCGAATTTAATGATTGGTATTTGGACGATGGCTCAATCGCTGGCGATGAAAACATTGTTTCAAAGGATTTACAAAAAATCATTGATCATTGTACGCCCTCAGATGTTTCCCCACTTGGTCAAGTCAGTTAGAGCTTGACGAATTTGATAATTTACTCCGCAACACGACAGAATATGTTACAAACAATCATTTCAAAAATGATTCATGGCTCTGAGCAACGCCTCCTGTAAACTTTGGCGGACTTGGGCTACGTTCGGCTTCTTACTTAGCTTTACCAGCTTTTCTGTCGTCAGTCAATACTGTTTCTGATTTTATCGATTCCATCCTTTCTTCCATATTTATCAATATCAAAAACGTTTTTTATGCTGAAGGTGAATCACTTTGGCATGCTGCAACTAATATTGCTCTTCCTACAGATAAAAAGAAAATACAAAGTGCATGGTACCGACCTCTTCTGAACATTATAACTGATGAACTTCTGAAATCTACAAGTGTACACGATAAGGCTCGTCTGAAAGCAGTAATGATCAAGGAATCGGGTGCTTGGCTGAATGATTTACCTGTTGCATCTCTTGGAACACTACTAGACGATGAATTTTCAGAATAGCAGTAGGACTTAGGATGGGTTCATCTATTTGTGTACCTCATACTTGTGTTTGCGGTAGTATAGTTGATGAAAAAGGTACACATAGTTTGAGTTGCAGGAGAAGTGCATTACCAGATGAACTACATATTGAAACGAGCTATGGTGTCAGCGGATGTTCCTGCAATTCTGGAACCCTTAAGTACCAGTCGAAATGATGGTAAACGACCAAATAATATGTCTCTCATACCATGTAAATACGGTAAATCTGTGGTATGGGACTTCACTTGCGTTGACACGGTCGCGGCTTCCCATCTAGCCGAAAGTTCGAAGTCTGCTAGAACCGCAGCATTGTCTGGCGAAAAATTGAAACGAAAAAAATACCAAAATCTTGATGACAACTTTCTGTTCCATCCAGAAGCGGTTGAAACTTTTGGTCTTTATGGCCCGAAATCTCTGTTATTCGTTCATGAACTCGAAAGGAGAATAGGCCAAGAAATGAAAAATCACCGTTCTACCTCTTTTTTGCTAGAAAGAATTAGTATTGCTATTCAAATTGGTAATGCTGATTCGGTCCTTGGAACTATTCCTCCTTCACATAACTTTGAAGAGATCATGCATTGCCCTCATTTCAGTACGGAACTGAAATCTCTTCGAATATTTATCAGTCTCCTATCAAGGTTGATTCGCAAGTGATTGATCCACCTTCTTCTTTTTCAGTGCAGTCAATAGACTCAGGTCATTCTTAATCCCCAAATATGAGTTGCAGTCCTCGTGGTTCTGGTTTCCTTTCACTGAAAGAGCTTCATGAAGCAAGAGACGAATCGATCCCTCCACGAAACCCTTCATCACTTGGAAGGATCGATTGCAGCTTGAGAAATGGTTCCTAATGCAGATTCTGTGAAACATGTTCTTCTTTACGAATCAATAGAGAGTTGTCCTAAAAATCTTAAGAAGAAAATTGGATTAGATAATTTAGGAAACACTTGCTACATGAATAGCATCATGACAAAGAATTTCAA